CAAGAATTATGGCAGGATGAGTCTAGAGCAGAAGGTGGTGTGCTGGGATTGCAGACATCTCACAGTAGCTTTGGCTCACAGAGGAGTAGCAAGTGTGAGGAATGGAGTATGAGCTGATCTCTGTTATTTTGGACTCATGCAGCCACTGTTAGGTACCATTGCTTGTGACCAATACCATCCTTTGGGTTTTAATAAGAACATGCAAGCTGAACTTTAACACAAATTTGTTCACAGGCTGCAAGTGTTGACACATCCTCTACCCTACCTGGAATTATGGGCTTGCACCTGAAATACATTGTGAAGTACCCTGAAATACATTGTGAATGTGCCTTCTATCTTTCATCACTTAGGGAAGTCCTCAGGAGTCTCTCTTGATATCTTGAGGTTTATTCTCCAGTGAACTCCCTGGAACTTGAATGGTATGTCTTTTATTCCTCTCCAGGGAGCTGCTGAGGGATGGGGATGACGAGCCAATACCAAAGGCTGGGTTCTAGTCCCATTTTGCCACTCTATATATAGTGACATCAAGCTTATGACTAACTCTCACGGAACCTCTTATTTCTTCCTTTGTCCTGACACCTACCTGTTACTGATAGCAGAGTGGCTGAAGAGTTGATATATTGGAGCATTTAGGTCAATCATGCCTGGCTCAAGCTAAGCAGCTGCAGGGCTTTGCCTACTTCTTATGCAGGTTTTTCTTATTTTTCTATCCACCTACCTATTCACCTATCCCTCTATCTATTAATTTTTAGAACTGGGGTTGAACTCAGTGATTCACATATGCCAAGCAAGGTCCCAATCACTGAGCCACACCCATGACTGTCCTCATTACTTAGGGCACACTGGATAGAAATCACAGGCTAAGAACTAATGGCTCTAAGTGCAGATGTGGCACTATCCCTCTTTAGCCATGGGCCATTGGGTATGTGATGTTAGGCTTACTTTGCTATGGGCCAGGAAGTCCACATTCCTGGTAGAGTAATTGGTCAGGTGACATGGTACAAACATAGTAAACAGCATGGGGCTAGGCCACACCATGCCCAGGTGTGCTGGCTAGGATTTTGTTTTGCTTTTTGTCAACCTGATACAAGCTACAGTCATCTGAGAAGAGGGAACAACAATTGAGAAAATGCTTACATAATACTGGCATACAGACAAGCCTGTGGGCATTTCTTGATTAGTGATTGATGTGGGAGGCCCCAGTCCATTATGGGCAATGCCATCCTGGGTAAATGGCCCTGCATGGTTTAAGAAAGCAGGCTGGGGAAGCCAATGAGCAGCATTCCTCCAAGGTCTCTGCTGCAGTTCCTGCTCCCACACTCCTGCCTTGAGTTCCTATGTAACTTCCCTCAGTGATGGAATGTGACCTGAGAGTTGTAAGCTGAAATAAACCCTTTCTCCCCAAGTTGGTTTTGGCCACAGTATTTATCACAGAAATAGAAATCCTAAAATACCTGGTCAATGTTAGGATGAAGATGCTCTCACTTGGGTTTCTGATGCTGTTCTCACAAATGTTAAACATTCCAAGGGAAATAAGGCCAGAGCTAGGGTCAAAGCCCATCTCCCATTAACTTCCAAAAAAAGCAAGCTTCCAGGTAACTCAGACTTGAGAGGAGAGTATGTGGGTCCATTTCTAAGCAACAGTCTCACAGGTTTTTCTCAGTTCTTTAGGGATTCTACCACAGTTCACTTCCATCTAGAAGTCTGAAATGCACACTAGCCAGAGGCTAATTTATCAGACTAGAGCTTGTTCAATCAACACCTCTCCAGATCTACCAGGTTCTACAGAAATCCCAGTACACAGTTCCCCACCCATCATTAAGACAGGGAGGGATGGGAGGTTTCATGTAATGTAGTTCTGGCCCATGAGAAGTAACAAGTGCCTTGAAGAGATCCTCGAGGTGTTTTGTTTTTAAGACATGGTCTCATAAAGTCTAGAATGGCCTTAAATTTGCTATGGAGGATGACCTTGAATGCCATTCATGTTCCTCTGCCTCAGTGTAGGAATTATGGGCCTGGACCATCACATCCAGATTGCCCCAAAGTCCTCTAACAAATTCCCCTAAATATTCAGACTCTTGGGGTACCTAAACCTCAACTAGACACGGGGCCCTTATTTTGAGGGAATAAGATGGGAGCTATTGATCATTTGCCTCTTCCACAGAATCTACACACTGTCCATAGCTAGCCTAACAGGGCTGTTTGATGGCTCAGCGGAGAGGAACACAGCACCCACTATGAAGGGCATATGGACCTCATGCAGTTTTAAAACTGTTGCCAAGAGTTCTCATGGTTATATATTTCTCATATCACTTATAGGTAGTTTCCAGGGACCCTCCAAGAGACAGGCTGTATCACACCAGTGATACCCTCAATGATTCTTATTCCCCCACCTAGACACAGAGCCAATCAGAGCCACCTTTATCATAGCAATGCTACTAGTCAAAGCATTTTGTCATTACAATGCTGCTCATTGATAGAGCTGACATACTATTTCTTAGTCACCTGGTGAACAGGCTTAGAAATATAATCGGAAATACAAGTCTTAGGCAGACAACATATTCACCCTTGTGATATGTATGTGTTTGTGCAGGTACTTGCATGTGGAGTCCAGAAGTCAATGTTGAACATGCTCTGTGACTGCATTCCACCTTACTTTTGAACATGAAACTCAGAGGTCATGAATTTGGTTAAGTTAGTGGTCAATGTGTTCCAGGGATCTGCTTGTCTTCAAGCCCCCAAAAGTGACATTTTTGCATGGGTGCTGGTAATCCAAACTCACTCAGGTCTTCAAGCTTACTTGGCAGGCACTGGAATAACTCAGCCACCTTCCCAGCCCCTGTACTCACTAGTATTCACAGAAATTCTTTAATGCGAAAGGGGAGACAACAAAGTTGGTTTGGACCTTTTTTTCCTTTCTTTGCTGGAACAGGAAGCAATGGATAGAGTCATCCAGACAATGAGATTACAAGCCTGAAGATAAGACCAAGGGAAGCCAGGAAGCTAATCCAACAGTAGAGTCCCTGAATGGTCAAGGGCTCCCCTCAAGATTTCTCTACACCACCAAATGCTTCTCTACTACACCACAAATGTCAAGTGGGTCCTCGCACAGAAGTCCATACCAGCTGGTAAAGGTGTCTAACACCAGATGCTTGTCTTAAGCTCATTATAGTCTGCTTTTCTATGATGATACTCATATCTCTTTCAGTCCCTTTTAGGACTGTTGGTCCATGGAGGTTTTGTTTGATGGGAATTCTCTATTATTAAGGGATGGGCTTTTGATTGAGGCTTTCACATTTTCATAATGATCAAATAGTTTCCCTTCTAAACTAGAGCTAATTTTTTTAGTTGTCCACACTAGTGTGAGCTTTCTACACTGGTGTCAGCTTTCTACACTAGAGTGAGCTTTCTACACTAATATGAGCCCCTACACTGGAGTGAGCTGTTCACAAGCAGTTTATACAAACTCAGCTGGCACAAAGGCTCTATCTTATTCTGATATGGTTAGAAATAGTCTCAGGTGTTCCAGACACACCAGCCTTCTAGAAAGCAACAAGACACAGATGGAACATGTAGATGCTTCTGGAATACCCACTTCCCTCCCTCCTTGCAGAGTAAAGACTGAGGTACCATCATGTCCCCTCCAGAGATGGTTTGAAATTCTTTCTAAACAAAGCCTTGATTTATTAACAAGTCCATTTCTTAGGTCCATAAGACCCCACAGCCCTGAAGGGTTATGACTGAGTCATGCCCATTTTAGCTTCAGCCCAACAAGAAAAATGGTGCAGAGAGATGCAATGTTTTTCACCGTTATTGCCTCCTTCAGATCAGATCCTAGTCATGCACCACCAGGGAATGACTAGAGAGATGTGGTCTTTCCTGCCAATCACAAGACCCCCAAAAAACTACAGCCAGCCAGGTGACTATATTCACCCACTGTGATCAAATGCAAACTGGTCTGAGCCAGTTGGTACCAGTAAAAATATACCTAAAGGCACAAGTGAATTGCTGGGCAAAACCCATTTGAGCCTATTTGCATTGGGCAACATGGAGTCCTATCTACTTGGGTTTTAAACATGAGTTCTCACAGTTAAAAATGATTTTTATTCCAAATTAAGTGGCATTAAGCTGGTTATAGCACTCAACATAGTGAACTGGTTGGAACTGGTTAAGCCTGGTTCAAATGCATCCTTAAAGGAGAACTTGGAGGCTTCTGTTATTTGCCATAAATGTAAAGCAGAATGGCAAAGCTTTAAAGCCATTTGTTTCTGAAGATCCATTTACTCTGCTCCTATAAATATTCATAAGAATTAATTATCAGCTTATTGAAAGAATTAATAAAACTCACATTGTTTATTATATACATTAGAGGCAAGAAACATTCTCCTAGCAGCGGGGAAAAGTCCTACTTAAGAGGTTCTTTGCTCTGATGTTGGACGCAAAGACACCTGATACATGTGGTCACTCTAACTCAGACTCATCAAAAGCCAAGTAGGAGTGCCCCCATCCCAAACACTGACACTGAACCAATCAATCAAGTCGGGCGGCTGCTTTGCTCTTTCTGGAATGTGAACCTGCACTGCTAATCTTCAAAAGGGGAGGAGGGGAAATTGCAGGAGGGTGTGAAAAGGAACAGCCAGCATTTGGATGTCACCATAACCACCCTGATGAAAAGGACATCATAATGAGTACTTACACAGACACATCTCAATGCATTAATCCAGCCCTCAGAGTCATTTGCAATGCAGTTGATGAGGGTAGACACAAGAATGGTGCTTGCTGTTCATTGCATTCAATCAGGCAGAGGAGCTGGAAGCCCCTCTCCCAAGTGGACTAATGCAAAACCCAAAGAAACCCAAAGAGACAGACACCTGAGGGCATCTTGTTGGAAACAGTGCTTTCTAAGCAAGAGTCTCTGGAGGAAACCCACACAGAAAGACCAACCATTTGCTTTTAAAATGTAACTGCCTCCTGAGGAGGTCAAATTTGAAGTCACTTACCAGCCACAAAGCTTGGAAATGATGCCACCTTCTTTGTCTGTTGAGAAATAACAAAGAGATTAAAATACAATAACTGCAAAAGGCTGACTTATGAGAACTATCTCAAGATGTATACCACCTTAGGCTAGAACTGTCTAACCCCATGAATGGCTGGTGTTTCCAAGAAATCAGATCCACACAGTAAGATGGTCTCATATGGGACACAGGATGCTAAGAAGGATCACAGAAGTCTGCCACAGAACCCTTCGCTTAGCATGTCATAGGTAGAAGGAGCTTCAAGGGCAGTCACCCCAATGCTGCTCAAACCACTGGGAATGAAAATTTCTTGGGCATGTATGTCCTCAAGACCACAATAAAGGAGATGGGAAGCCAGCCCATTGACAACTACAATTGTTTCAATGGGGCTAGACAAGCTGGTCTCAACTACTTAAGCCCTACTTTGAATCAGATAACCAACCATGTTATTGGTCACCAGTGGCTCTCAATCAGGGTGGTTTTTGTCCTCAAGGACACATTGGTCAATTTCTAGAAACATTTTGTTGTCATAACTGAGGTATAGTGGCTGCTGGTTATCTAGTGGGTGAAGATGCTCATAGACAGGGAAGACCAAAAAAAAAATAATAATAATAATAATAAATAAAAAAAATGACTGTCCATCCTAAATGTTAATGACTCTGCTTTTGAGAAATCCAATCTACCCTCAAGTTTCTACCAGATCAGGGAGCACCAGGGATCCCTACACCACCATCAGGGAGCACCAGGGATCCCCACACCATCAGCAGTATACCAACAGTGCACACTGCGGCTGTGAGTTCTCAGGATATGTGAGTCCCCTCCTCCCAGGACAAGGAACCCACATCTCTTCCTCAGACATTGGTCCCAGCCCTGACTTGATCTGATCTCCCCAGATCCTGGGTGGTATAAGAACTAGTAGAGTGAGCTCACCACAACACATCCAGTAACTCCATATTTTGTCCAGAACTCTCATATTTGGAAGAAAATTACCTCTGGGATGTTGTTATTGTCAGTGGGTCCATTGAGATCAGAGCGCTGCTGCTTCCTTGGTTGCTCCAAGCCATTGCAAACCTGGAAACCAGAAAGTTGATTATATTTTTATATAGCAGAAAAGTGAACTCAGATTTAAAAAAAATATTCAATGAGATTCAATCTTATAAAATACACATGTGTAGGGATACACATACATGTGTTCAAGTATTCATACACATTTAATTAAACTGTTATACAATGAATATGCATACTTTTATATACTAAAGTGTTTATTTTACTTTTATTATTTACTACTATTTTTATCTTAATAAAGTACACAATTTACCACCTGAACTATATTCAGTATACAGTTAAAAGGGATGAAGTATATTCATGTTATATGTTATCCCTACCATCCATTCCAAGTTACACTTCATAATACAAGACTGAAACCTGGGCCGAAGAAACTGCTGGGCAGTTAGGTAGGTAGGTATTCTACTCTTCCAGAGGAGGTCCCTAGTCATTTCCTAGAGTCCACATTGGGCCACACACAGCTTCCCTTAACTCTACCTCAAAGGTATCTAACACCTTCTTACGGCCTTATGGGCTCTCATACAGATGCATACAAAAAATAAAAATAAAGGTAAATGTTTAAAAGTAATCTGAACATACAACTAAATTCCCTTTTCCCCAGTTGTCTTTGCCTTGGAAGCCTCAATTCATTTTATTTTCTGGATCTATTTTAGGTGCCTAGGATATATGGAAGTACACACTGTTAATATGTTGGTGATTGGCCTATTTCACTTAGCACATGATTCATGCATGTTATACTTTTAAGGCTGAACAGTGTTCCATGGTGTGTATGTGTCACACTCTTTTTATTCATCCATTGAAGGCAGCTTGGGTTGCTCCTACCCTTTGACTAATCCAAGTAATGCTGCTGGGAACTTGGATATGTAAGCTGTCTTTGAGGCTTCGTTTTTGTTTCCTTTGGTCCCACACCCATAGTTACAACCACTGGATCAGATGCTGAGTCCATTTTAGTTTCTTTGAATGAGTCTCTATAGTATTTCCCAAGGCAATACCTTCCTCTCACACTGTCCAAGAGTTAAAAAAAAAATCTATTTTAGAAGGACATGTGTTCAACTATGTGCATAGCAGCATTATTTGTAATAGTTGTAATAGAACCTGGAAGCAACCTAAATGCCCCTCAACTGAAGAATGGATGGAGAAAATGTAGTACATTTACACAATGGAGTACTGCTCAGTGATAAAACACAAGAGAGTCATGAAATTTGCAGGGAAATGGATGGAACTAGAAGAAACCATCCTGAGTGAGGGAACCCAGTCACAAAAAGACAAACATGGTATATACTCACTCACATATGGATTTTAGACATAGAGCAAAGGATTACCAGCCTACAATGCACACTGCCAGAAAAGCTAGAAAATAAGGAGGTCCCTAAGAGAGACATACATGGTCCCCTGGAGAAAGGGAAAGGGACAAGATCTCCTGAGCAAATTGGGAACATGGGAGGGTGGAGAGGAAAGGAAGGGGAATTACAAGATAGAGAAAAGAAGAGGAGGGCTTGAGGGAACAGGAAGATTGAGACAGGGAAAGAATAGAGGAGAACAAGAAAAGAGATACCATAATAGAGGAGCCATTATAGATTTAAGAAGAAATCTGGCACTAGGGAAATGCCCAGAGATCTACAAGGATGGCCCCAACTAACAATATAAGCAATACCCTTCCTTAAATACCCTTCCATGATAATGAGATTGATGACTACTTTATATGCCATCCTAGAGCCTTCATCTAGTAGCTGACGAAGGCAGGAGCAGACACCCACAGCTAAACACTAGCCGAACTCCTGGAATCCAGTTACAGAGAGGGAGGAGTGATGAGCAAAGGGGTCAAGACCAGGCTGGAGAAACCCACAGAATCAACTGACCTGAACAAGGGTCATGCACCCCAGTCTGATAGCTGGGAAACCAGCAAAGGACTGACCTAGACTCCCTGAGTGTGGGTGTTACTTAGGAGGACTGGGCAGTCTATGGGGCCTCTGGCAATGGATCAGTATTTATCTCTAATATATGAATGGACTCTGGGAGCACATCCCACAGAAGGATACTTTCTCAGCCTAGACACATGGGGGAGGGCCTAGACCCTGCCCCAAATGATATGACAGACTTTGAAGACTCCCCATGGAAGGCCTCATCCTCCCTGGGGAGCAGAAAGGGGATAGGTTGGGGTTTGGTGGGGGTAATAAGGGAGGAGAAGGGGGTGTGGGAACTGGGATTGACATGTAAAACAACCTTGTTTCACATTTAAATAAAAAAGGAAAAAAATCTATTGTTAGAATAAATTTAGATTCTTGAGTGAGAATGAATGCAAACGAGTCAGCCTACTACTACAAAAAAAATAAAATAAAATAAAATAAAACATGTCATGAAACATTAAATTTCCTCTTAAAATATCTTAACCCTAACTTCCTTACTTTTCAAACAATACAACTTAACACTTTAGGTACGTTTTCTACATTTAGTTCTTTACACCATGCAAATGATAGATGCAAGATCCAAGGAACCGAAGTCACCACCCAAACCAAACAGCTCTGGTGAGCAGCTCCTTAAGTCATGGAAGTAACAGCAGGAGGTAGGACGGTGACACAATAACAAGTAACAGGAATTTGCATCAATACACACTGTTGAGTGCATCTTCCTGTGTCTAGCTGTATCCAGAGTGTGACTTACCTGCAAGGTTCCAGCACATGAGTTTCTGCATGGACTCCTTTCCTTGAAGGTCTACCCTGCCTGCTGCTGCTGATCAGCTCTACTCATCCCCAAGAAGCTCTCCAGAAAGCAACTACCAAGTAACAAACAGAAGATACCACACATGCTGCAGCTGGGGTAGTGTCTAAACTTCAGACGGATGGATGGATGGATGGATGGATGGATGGATGGATGGATGGATGGATGGATGGACAGAGAGAGAGAGAGTTCATGACTTAGCCAGGGGACACAGTGTCAACTCCTTCTCTATGTCCTCCCCCTGGTTCTGCTTGATGTGGGGCTACAGTATGGGATAGTCATGAAAAATCAAGGTCTTCCCTGGGCACCAGCCCTCCTCCATGTCAACATCCTCTCCATATATTCCTAAGTGGGCAGCACATCACCATGACAACAATATCTTCCCATAAACAGCCAGACTTGTTTTCAAAGAGGAAGGAAGGTGGGCTTGTGATGTTTCTCTTCAGGAAAACCCATCTGCTGTTGATCCCCACCCACCCACCCAGGGGCCTGGAGTGTTATGGGGACTGGCAACGTGGGAAGCAGCATTGGAAATTCACATGGTTCGAGGCCTCTGTGAATTTGGTGCTCCCTGCTTCTTGGGTAAAGATGATATTGGACACCCCCTCTTCCAAACCTCTAGCAGTCTCCGCATCATTGCCAGTGTCCAAAACCATTATCCATCCACCAGAGAATGCTAGTGCAAAGCTTGTAAAGGGAAATGTGCTCTCTGGAGGAGCAAGTCAGTGTCATGGTGTGGCACAGACTGGGTGAGCATGCTGGGACCCAGGGACAGCTGCTTAGTGCAGAGATAAACACACTTAATAAAAAATGCCAATAAATCACCTGACTAAATATGTTGGCTCCAGTTGATGCAAAATAAAGTTTGGCATTTTGAAAGTGTCAATTCTGATTTGTCTGCTTAACTCAACTGAAAACCCAATAATATAACCCACACTGCTTGAGATGAACTCATAGCAAACTAGCTCACACCCACTCAGCTCACGCCATCTGGAACAACAGCCGCCTTCTGAATGACAAACATGTTAGGAACAGACAACATCAGCTTAGATCTGGAGAAGTCACAACATCTCACTGTGTTATACCTCCCCCTCCAACATGAGTCTGCAACAGACAAACCCCAGGGCTCATGGATGACTCAGATGACTGTGTCCTCTGTGGACCATTTCACACTTTGTTTTTAAAAAGAACCAACCAGCCCCAGTCATCTGTTATCACTACAAAGATTTCTTTTTTCATCCAACTCGAGTGGGTCAGGACAGTTCTCCTGCACAAGGGCAGCTCTGAGTGGGGATAAGCCAAAAGCACAATCTGCCAGGGTCTAGCCCAGGAATGTAGACACGTTCTTTCAAAGGCCCTGAGAATCCACCCTGACACATACGGGGCTCAGGAAGAAGACTGCTTTATTTGTTTTCTCCATTCCTCTTACTCAGGCCACTACTGCAATATTTACCTTGAGGAAAATGAGACTGGAATAAGGTGTTTATTCTTCCTATAGTCTCTCCCACAGGGTGAACACCTTTGTATGACACTTTGTAAAAGTGCCACAGCAGACACCTTAGGGACCTCAGAGACTCTGTCTTTTAAACTCTGTAGGCAGGTCTGAAAAGGGGAGGAAGATGGGCTGTGCATCTCCCATGCCAAGCATTTCATTAAACACATTATGCTAAAAATTATCCATCATCTGCCCGAACTTCAGTTTTTCCATTGCATAAAATTTGCCCTCTCAATTATGTGCACATACAGTTCAGTATCACTAAGTGCATTTATAATGTTGGGCAATTATTAGCACCATCTTTTCATCTTGTAAAGCTCTAGATACAGCTTCAGCTCTCCAATTCAAAGGGCCCTTTTATGATGCTATTCGTCAACCTGGCCATCCTTACAGGGACAGGTGGCTGGTGCCTTTTCTCCATTATAGCTTTGGATTCTAGGCCTGGCCCTCTGAGATCCTCTCCACTACAAACCAGCATAAGCAACTGGACACAGCATTTGCTTATGTGGTCTTTCCATAGAGCCTGGCAGAGTGCAGACAATGGAGGATGGTGAATTGCTAGACACTTCAGAGCATCATCTCATTTGTTATAAACTCACCTTTACATGCCAACCTTTGTGCAGGGTCTGTCTACAACTGGCCAGTCTTGAGTATGTGTTCTGCACTTCTAACAGGGAGGTATGCAATGAGGACCCTACCCTTGACATTGCATAGACAGCATGGAAACTGGACTTATGGTTTGGGCCAAGATTAAACCTCCCCTGGGATAACCTCCCAGGGTATAAGCATCTTT